ATGGTGGGGTCTGTAACCACTGCCAGTCTGTATGGTGGGGTCTGTAACCACTGCCAGTCTGTATGGTGGGGTCTGTAACCACTGCCAGTCTGAATGGTGGGGTCTGTAACCACTGCCAGTCTGTATGGTGGGGTCTGTAACCACTGCCAGTCTGAATGGTGGGGTCTGTAACCACTGCCAGTCTGAATGGTGGGGTCTGTAACCACTGCCAGTCTGAATGGTGGGGTCTGTAACCACTGCCAGTCTGAATGGTGGGGTCTGTAACCACTGCCAGTCTGAATGGTGGGGTCTGTAACCACTGCCAGTCTGTATGGTGGGGTCTGTAACCACTGCAAGATGTTTATTTCTGGGAAAGGCGGCAACACATCCAACCTCTCAAAACATTTGCTACCGTCACATAAAATCAGAGTGCAGGAATGTAGTCTTCAAGCTCGTGTTTTCAAACGTGTTTTTCATTGTTTGTTCAGTACTAAAAGGTCGAAGTCCTACAATTAATTGTAATATAAAATAAAAAAAAAAAATAAAAATAAACATTGATTGATAATATTCATTTGACATGTTAACTATATCATAAAGCGCTTCAATTTTTCCCTTATGCAACATGAAAGTATCACGATATGTATCGGTCGAGTATCGGTATCGTAAAAAAGTCAAGGATATGCATCCCTACATGTCTCCATGCATTAATGTTCAAAAAGCTCTTTATTGTTCTCATACTGCCTGTGCTGCAGCACCTCTTTTCACCCTCTGTCTGAAACCAGAGCCCAGTCTGCTCTGATTGGTTAGCTGGCCGGCTCTGCTCTGATTGGTCAACCGCTAAGAGATGTCCCGCCCCTTAGCCTATCACGTACAATGTGTTGGAGCAGAGCCAATAGGAGTGCAAGTGTTACATAGTGATGTCATTAACTATTAACCTAAATAACACACACTGTTGTAAAGGGAGAACCCCAAAACGCACAATTGGGCCTCTTTAACCTTAATTGTTTTGGTTGAGTCGATTCATGTTACTGCGAGGGGGTTGATATGAAATAGTCCGAATAGCATTGATTTATAGGGGTGATTTATACATTAGCTATAACTTATAAGTTGTTCTGTGAATGTAATGTTAGCCTCCACAAAGACATGGAGGGTTTGATCAAGAAATGGATGCTTGTGTTAATTAAACATTGCTGTGTGATCAGACTCCAGATGTTTGCTGACCTCGTCTTGGACTCCTCCGCCGCTCGTCAACTTGTTTCCGTCGGTGATGGCGATAATGATGGCAGGTTCGAGGAAAAAAGGATTCCTTCCCTGCGGAGACAAAAAAAAAAAAGAGACATTCACAATTGATTTAACTACTAAACCACATCAAGGTTCAAGGCTTTTATTGGTCATGCATACATAGCTACAGTCGAGGGTGTAACTTTGGTTTGAGAAGTGGGGGGGACACAAAACAGGGGGTCCTGCGCAATTAAACATTTTCCCGATTTAATCTAAGAGATTTATGGATACAGCTCTCAACTCTCATGAAACAGAACTGTATATATTTCAATAATCAAAAAACCATTAGAATATGCACACAACCAATAACACATATTTGATCAACTCCTCTCTCCCATCTTACCTAGTCTGCATTCTTTCTTTTTAGTAATGTATATTTTAATAATCACTCCCCTTTTAAACTGTGTTTTAGATTTTTTTACTGACCTATAGTAAACATTGGGATGATTTCTTAACTTATTTTTTACAACTAGGCCTATATTTAATAGATGGAGATATTTGTTTACATGTATGACCATTCCCTTTGAGACCCACTGAGATCACTTAGACTAAAGTTTACAATCTAATCGCTCAGCGAGTCCTTTACCTCACTGAGCTGACGTTATCCCTCTCCTTATTGTTGAAACAGCTTCTAATCTCCGTTAGCTCCGAGCTAGCACCAGATGCTAACAACAACCCCCGTAACTCTCTCTCTCTCTCTCTCTGTGTCTGTCTGTCTGTCTCTCTCTGTGTCTCTCTCTCTCTCTCACTAAATGCGCTCGTGCCACACACACACACACACACACACACAGACGCTCCTCTGTGACGATGACCGCTTGCGTAAAAAAAAAAATACACATTTGAAAAGTGGGGGGGACACAAACGGGATTTTGAAAAGTGGGGGGGACACAAACGGGATTTTGAAAAGTGGGGGGGGCATGTCCCCCCTATCCCCAGTGGAAATTACGCCCATGGCTACAGTGTAGTTATGACAATTAAAATCTTAGGCCACAGGCTCCTCCAGCAGTGCAACACAATAAAACAGCAAGTTAATACAAAAAGAAAAATAGTAAAAAAGTGAAATAGTGGAATAAGAGTCTAATATAATCAGAAAAAGAGTTCCTATTAGCACTTGTATTTATACAGTATTTATAGCATTTGTAAGGCATGAATGAGCGCAGATAGCGTATAATTATATAACTTACAGGGGAGCTATTTAAAGTGAGCGGCTGGGTGAAATAGAGAACTTTAGCTCAAGGGAATTATGAGCAGAAATAGTACCGTCTTCAGTACAGAGTCATTTCACGTATTAGTGTTCCCTTTATTCCTCCTCTAATGGCCGAGTATATTACCTGAGGATCTGTGTGAGGCATGTCACAATATTTAACGACACTCATAGGATAAAGGTCATATCAAAGTGGAGCAGCTCTGCATTTATCAACTGTGTGATTGCTTAAGGTAAGTTAGATTCCGGATGTAATGCTGCTTCGAAGCCTAATCAAGACCTACAAACCAAAACGTATTTTTTTATTCTCATAATGTAATTTACATTTCTTTATTAGTTCTCATTCCCTTTTCTATGTTACACGTGCATTACTAATATACCTTTATAAACACTTTATATTCATTCCTCTGGTGTGGTTTTTTTCGTCTTGTAATTTTTTAGCACAACAATATCCTTCAGGATTAACAAGGCGCTATTTTATTTTAACATACGTGGTAAGTGGAGCTCCATTCATCTGTAGCTGCCTTCATATAGTTGTGTGTATATATATATATATAGTGAGCTGAAGCTAACTCCACCTAAAACAGCAGTTAGCCGCTAACACATCCCCCTGGTGGAGAGCCATTCAATCCTGATCATCACCCACGCTGACATCTCCACTCATATCTCCTCACTTGCCTCCTTTCCTTTCCTTTCCTCTCCTCTCCTCTCCTCTCCTCTCCTCTCCTCTCCGGATGAAACTGATCAGTGTCAGGGTTAGCTCAGCTCTCCTCTCTCATCTCCTCTCTCCTTTCCTTTTCTCTCCTTCCCTTCTCTCTGGATGAAACTGATCAGTGTCAGGGTTAGCTCGGCTCTCCTCTCTCATCTCCTCTCTCATCTCCTCTCTCCTTTCCTTTTCTCTCCTTCCCTTCTCTCTGGATGAAACTGATCAGTGTCAGGGTTAGCTCAGCTCTCCTCTCTCATCTCCTCTCTCCTTTCCTTTTCTCTCCTTCCCTTCTCTCCGGATGAAACTGATCAGTGTCAGGATTAGCTCCGCCTCCTCCTTCGTCCTCCCTGGGGAGAGTCCTCTCAGATGCCTGGCAACCTGCAGGGCCCTTTGTTAGCGAGGAGAGACGCACTCCAGGGAAATGTTAACTCCCCTTTGTCTCCTCCCTCTCTAGCTCTCTGCAACACTGAACGTCTTAGAGCACTTACCTACAGAGGGGTAGGGTAACTAAGTATATTAACTTGAGTACTGTAACATCTTTAGGTACTTGTTCCAAAAATGTTTATTTCAGTGGTGGAAGAAGTACTCTTCTTATATGTCCTGTATTCAAAATCTTGACCAAGAATTTGCATCACAATATTCCTAAAGTTCAGAAAGTCCAATTTCTCGCAGTAGAATAAATGTACTTCAACTGTTACATTTGATGCTACTCATAGTCCTTTTACTTTCCTACAATTATCTTATAGCTGTGGCCACTTTGCAGATTCATATTACTTATACAAAATGTAAATGAACTAATAAGTTATGACACATAAGTATAAGTAAAATAAAGAATTAGAAATGAACTAGTCGTTTAATTAAAATAAGCTTCACCAGCTGCAACATCAAAGAGATGTATTAACAATATTCAATAAGTAAGTCATTCGTACTGTAACCCTATACTTGAAGTATATTTCCATGCTTATACGTTTGTAGTTTGACTTAAGTTAGATTTTTAATGACTTTAACTTGTAACAGTATTTATTTTCTACACTCAGTGGTATGAGTACTTTCACTTAGGTCAAATATCTTCTCTCGTCCCAGCCCATAATATGAACTGAGTTGACTTTTCTATATGAATTAAATTAGTAAAGGTAGTTATTATATGGGGCACTTTAAACACAAAGTCAGTCATGCACTTTGATTCAAAGCTGTTCAAGTAAATGGAGAAAGAAAAGCCCATCAGAGGAAGTGTGTAGTCCTCAGAGCGCTGATGAAACCTCTGAAAGTTTCCACTGATCAAAGAAGAGAGCCGGCAGCCTCTCCGTGTAAACTTGAGTCACTTTTACATCGTGCGGGTTCAAAGGAAATTTGGTTTATCACTTACATCCGCACCTCATGTCCTGCTTTAAACTCTAATCCATCACCCTCAACAGTAGACCACACCATCTGCTCATAAAGTAAACTAATTGAAAAACCCTATCAAGAAATCTAAAACAGAAAGTACCCCACAAGTGTTGGCATGCAGCCATGTAGCATTAAAGCAATTAATCATTATCACTGAAAATGAAGTGTTGATTTCTATTATATTATTGAAAACTGAATAAATGTGGGTTTTGTTGGCCGGAAAATAAGAAATATTAAGATGATCATCACGTTTGGACACTGTGATGCCATTATTTCATTATTGTTGATTATCATAAAGACTTAAAAAAGACAGATTCTTCGATAATAGAAATGTCTTTTCGATTCCGACCTCGAGTAATACAGTAATTATCATGTGCTTGCCTCTCTTAAATATATCTTTTGTCTGCACTTCCCCTTTGCTGTAACATTGTACATTTCCCCGCTGTGGGGTGAATAAAAGACTTCTGATTACACAAGCTATTTTAAAAAGGACATAATAAGCTTAATACAATAGTTGCTGGTCACTACAAAATCGGCAATGATGTCAAGGATAGAGGGAAAGAACGCCATGCTCGCTGAAACTGAATTTCAGTTTTTGAAAAAAAGAGGACCACATGAGAGGTCATTCAATTATATCAAAACTGTTGGATCCACCGGTCATTAGAGGTGAGCGCTGACCGCTGCAGGACACCGTAACCTTGACCTCAGCATGAGCGGTTTGTGTTCACAGGCCGAATGGCTTCTGATAGCTTGACATCTACATTAGACTTCCCTGCTAGTGTCTGACAGACAGTGTGCATGCTGTACGTGTGCATTACCTTAAATGGACAATCAGGAAACGCTGGTTAAGCATTTAGTATTCCTCTTCAGACTCACTTCAACATGCTGACATACAGTCAGACTGGGTATAGGAAAGAGGGTTTATAGTGTATGGAGAAGTGAATTTGTATACAATACATTTTGCAGCAGCTTGCTGGACTACATTCATATGCATAGTGGTTTAAATAGTTCACTTTGTTGTTGTTTTTGCAGTAGTGTAGTATTGTCATTTTATATTTTCATTGCTTCTCTCCTATTATTGAACCAATGTAATGGCTTTATCAAGTAACATATGTATGGCCATTGTTTACAGCAATGTCCAAGAAGTACACACTTCTAAAGAAACTGCAATTTTGAGACCGTTTTAGTTTAAGATTGTGTAATTCAGTTATTACTGAACATTTTTTTATTTAATATATTTTCTTTTTAATATTTGGTTTATGTATGACATGTGAACAAGTGGCCATATATTTTTTTAATGACTTAATTGTGCCACGGTTCCTTTTTTGAATTATATTTCTGTGTCAAATGTACTTAATTTTATCGTATCGAGTAGCTAGAACTACTATTTCTAAAAAGGTGATAGTCAACCAAAGTAGATTTTTAGGGTAGCTTTTCTATATTGCAATTTCTTCCAGTGTGTTTCAATTTGTAGCTTCTTTTCGAAGTTGACATTAACAATGACTATTCCATCAGAAAATGGCGCCTATAATTTCCAGTCGTTGGACAGAAGAGAAGAAGGGTGATGCGAAACATCTCCTGCAAGCTGTTTCCTGTTGCTTTCTATTGAGTTTAAAGTGGAATAAATCCTGTCTTGTCCTTTTTTGTGATGGAGAGGCGAAGTCCCTCCCTTTCCTCCATGGGACCTTATTTCGGATAAGGTATGTATTGAAGTCAATGGAGAGAGAAAGATTATCTTTCGATCCCGTTTGAATTGTGCCACGAATTACACATATGATGTTTGTCAATTTAAAAGATAATTTTGCAAGTCAAAACAAAAAAAATGTGTCGTGAAACTGTGAAGTAACACTTTTGTTTGTGTGAAACCGCTCAATGAACTACATCTCCCATCTCGCACCACACACCAAGACGGCCGTCACGTTGGCACATTTCACTTCTTTCTTTCAGAATGAGGCGGAAAGTATTAAAAGAGGTGAAAATCACTCCAAGTCTGGGCATGTTGAGAGCTGTACATACACACAAGGGGAGTTAGTCGGTTCCTAAGAGCCAGCATGCGGGACCGGGATTCTGGGATTTGTAGTCTTTCTAGTTGCGTATTTTCCATAGTCTTATATTTCAACAGTTTTATGATAAACTGTGACTTTTTTGACATGGAAATTATTTTTTAAGATTGAGAAACACCATATGTGTAATTCGTGGCACAATTCATACGGGATTGAAAGATAATCTTTCTCTCCCCATTGACTTCAATACATACTTTTTCCGAAATAAGGTCCCATGGGTCGGAAGCAGATGGGTGTGACTTCGCCACTCTATAGACGAAATATAAGAAAGAAGTCACCTGTAGAAGATCAGTCATTAGGCTCAAACTGTAAACATAATTGCTCCATATTTACCAATCATGCTCTCTCGCTCTCTCTCTCTCTCACGCAGCTTTACTTTCAACATCGTCCTCTAAACTGGAGGTTTGACAACAGAGATTTAAGCTGCTGATGTTGTTAGCACCGTTTGGAGCTGGGCCAGTAATATTGAATTAGTTACAGACTCAACAAATATTCATTTTCCATAGGCAGTCCCAATTAAATGTAAGTGGATGTCGGCTTCCAGCTGGGAATCAGACCAACTGTGTCGTTCAGCTGCGGCAGAGACTTGTTTCTGATTCACAAATCAAAAATGAGAAGTGCAACACGATGGAAATAACATCTATGGCGTCAAGTAAAGAGTGCATTGTTGTCATTGTAAAAAAATATCCTGTTGTTTGCCGTTGACTTGAAAAGAAACAGCCTAGGTGAAAAATGTAAAGCTCATCAGTACATTTAAGTAAAATGCCTTTTACACAAAAAGCTTAGGAACTTTAGGAATTTAAACATAAATCAAGTTGTGGCCAGTAAAAAAAAAAAAAACTTTCTTTAGGTCTACAATGCATAATTAATGCATTATAGACCTAAACATCTATAATATATTTTCAATAATAATTAAAACTCTAACATTAACTTCACCTTTCTGAAGGTTTTATTTTTCAGTTTTGTTTAAAACCCTTGCTGATTCACCTTGTTGTCATGTCAGAAGCTGTACCCCAACTGTGAGGCATTTCAAATATTTACTCCAGCCCATGTGTTTCCATGAGGGTAGACTTAAACTTAAGTATCACTTCTCAAAACAATGCAATAGACTTAAACATAAACTCCTTTTTGACTGTAAGGTTGTTATAACACCTCTCTGAAACAGAGTTAACTAATTTGATTATAAATACTTCTAAAAAAGTAGAATTTAAAGCAGATCTGTTGTTCCCAATTGCCGTGTTGATTAACCTGTCCGGTATTTTCTCAATTCATCTATAAAATGTAAGAAAATATTGAAAAATGTTCATCCAAGTTCCTCAATGTCCAAGGTCAGGTCTTCAAATGTCTTGTTTGTCAGTTCAAAACCCAAAAATATTCAGTTTGATATTATAATAAATATCAGTGTAAAGGTATTTAAAAAGGCTGAAAACTGCATTTTGTGTGTGTGAAAAAGTACTTATTACAGATTACCAAAAAAGTTACTGGTGTGAGCTCTATGTGTTTGACAGAATTAGTATTAGCTTGTAAAATAACAACTTGAGAACATCTGTGCAGCCTTTAACTGTCAATCCCTTTAAAGCTGTAAGAGAACTTTTGATTTTAAATACATATTGCACTTCCAGGGTTGCTCACAACTAATCCTTCCATCTAAAAATATAAGCATCAAGCTTTTGAAGTAGTAGAGTACCGTGGCACTGTGTAACACAAACTAAGATCAATCAATAACAGCTGCTGAGGTGATAAATAAGTCTTGTCATTTCTTTGTTTCAGTTATGTTTGTGTCATGAGCACATGACTGAAAGTGTGTGGGGTCACAGTATGCAGGTAGTTGATGCTTGTAAGACTGGGGATAGGGGAGTAGGGGGTCTGTGGCAGGGGGCATAGTGTCATAATTAATATTATTTTAACCTTGGCTTCCTGTCTGCCTATTCAGTGCTACATACCTGTCCATAGTTGTCTATCCCAGTCACTAATCTATTGAGATTGAGTAAATCAAAAGCGGTCCTCAATGACTGGCCAATAGCTGTGAGTCCGGCTGCTTGCAGATTCCTCAACTCTGTCATGAAGGTGGCATGGCTCTCTTTCCATCCAGCCTTAAAGAAAAT